GTCAGCCAGCCGGAAGGAAGATGCCTACAAGCGAACGGCACGAGCCAGCTTGATGCAACAGCTTGGCTGAGCGCACAGGCATTATCCGGGCAAACGACTCCTGCTATCTAAGCGGGGGGGGGGGGGGGGGGGGGGGAGCGATCAGGGCATTGTCGCAGATCGTTGCGTGCTTTTGGCGCCGGGTCTTCTCCCTTCCTCGATCTCAAAAAACGATACACCTGGCAAAAGGAACTTTTTTGTAAAGGCTTGTTGAATCCCAAACGAAGTGTAGGAGCATCTTAGTATTGGAATGGAAGAGCAGTTGCAACATAGGCGCGTGTTAACTGGTGTTTGCAGGTCCTCAAAGAGATACAAATCTTCACCCTCGAGTTTTGATGTTCTTCAAAATTTCGGCAGCCTTCACAAGTGGGGTAAAACGTTCGTTGATGAGCGCGGTTGGAGCGACGGATACTTAAAAAAATCATCATATGGTTTTCTGCAGCACTTATTCTTTACAGTTTCGTGTAGCAAGTGTTAAGAAAATCTGATCAAATGATCATTTGTGGCGAAATGTAGACGCGATGGAGTATCATTTCTTGCAGCTTTGTGCAAACCCAGCGTTGTGGAAATCCACCACCTCTGTTGAGTTGCTTATGGTACTCGGCAAGGGTGGCTTCAGTCCACCAACTTCGGTAGAAAAGTGTGTTAACTAATCACTACACTGAACTTAACTGCTGTCTCCTGTTTCCCTTGAATTGATTGACTGGAATTGATTTCCCTTAAATTGATAGCTTGACACCTGGATCCGGCTTTCCCTCTTGTTGATCCTGCAAAACTCCGTCCATGCCCATCACTGCAACCGGCTGGAGGGCAATGTCAGCACCACTCGGAGGGTCAGCTGTACCCATCATGTCCCGAAACACTGGTTCCGTTTGCACGACTCTTCAACCAGTCCAGCACAGTGGATGATGCGGCAGATCTTCAGAGGAGAGTTATGTAACCGGGCGATGCTATCATGGGCATGTCGAGGTGTGGTGACTCATTACATCATCTGGTTAATGACGTCACTGTGGTGGAATAAGCAGCGCGAACGAAGTACGTTTCATCCATGTTTTTACGAGCTGACATTGATGATAAGGAGCGAGGCTCGCAGAACCCATTGGGCCCCACAATGCGTTCAGTTTGCCTAGTGAGTGGATGTGTACTGTAGCCGCGCTATCGTTGTCTCAACTGGACTACAATGGGTGTGTGGTCGAGGGTCGGGAGAAGGACTGGCAACAAGCGGCTGAAAAAATCCTCTTCCAGGCGGTTTTACCAGCTAAAACCGGATGGACACTGCCGATGACAAAAACTCGTAGACAGACAATTCAAGGGTAGGAAAATATTCGTTGTTAGCCAATGGAGTATAAGAGAAGAGCCCAATAACATTACAAGTTAACTTCAGCATTGTTAATGTCACCATACTGGAAGCATTCGATAGTATCGAGAAATAAAGACAACGCTAGCCACAACGTTTCGAAAAATGGAAACTTAGCCATGAAGGGATGCTGAACTAATGAAAGCACAACTACAAAGGAATGGCTGGACCGCAGTTAAATAAGTTGAACTAACAGACACATGGCTGCAAAGAAATGGCTGAACCACAGATTAAGAGGGAGTGGTAGGGAACGAATGGTGAATTCGCGAAATGCGCAATAAAGCTTTGTTTTGCTGACTGGATTAGCTATGGTAGGTTGGACTAGCTGTACTCCGAAGCGTCTATTGAAGCAGCCGACGCTCAAACGGTAAGCAGAACGATCTTATGACGCTCCCGGAAACTTTTAATGATACTAACGTTGGAATCAACGCCGTAGTATTCTACGAAACTTTTACCATACACAGTTTCATCTCAGATCTCTAAATTAGTTACGCACACCATCATTAGGCAATCGGCGTTCCTTTTCTAGCCAGAACAAGATCGGTGTCCAGCATGCAACGCCTGCAGTGATTGCGCGATGTGACGTCACACAACTGACGCGAACTTTGCTTTCCGCGAACACGGTGGTGCATGGGCGGTAGCCACGGGAGCAGGTAACAGTCACGCGATTGGTATTGCGTGTGCTGCCTTGGACCAGTTCCAAAACGCGATGCATGTCGTTTGGAATTGCCTGTCATTGTACTAGAATATCAAAGCGTGGAACATCCACCTAATCGTGGCATGCACACGTGAACGTCTGACTTTTTGCGGGAAGTTCTAAAACGGCCGTCTTTCGCCTGCCTTTCACGACAGGCCATGGTTTTATTTTTCTTCGTCTGCCACCGTCTTCCTCGGTAAAAGCAGTTGGGACGTCCCGATTTTCTACAGCCACTGCTAGAACTCAGTCACTGTTCTGAAAACTTTACTTATTTAGCTACCTTCACTCAGTTACGACAAAAGATCGAAAGTTGGTGTGAGATATTATGGGTTTTCTCAGATTTGGGGAAGAAACGACTATAATTTCGGTTCAGTGCGATGCAAATTATATTTGCTCACAATGACTTT